TGGCGAGGCCGCATATCTCATCGCATACGACATCTGCGTTTCTCCATATGATGCCAAACACGTGCTGAATGCCTGCGGATGATGCATCTGAAAACTCGGGTCTATTTCACACCCAGGAACAGCAGCAGCAGCAGACGAGAATTCCAAGGTTGAAACAAAAGCCGTGAAAAAAAAAATTTAATGCGATCCTCGAATGTCTATATATATGGGTCTGCGAAGTGTGAAGAATGCGTTCTTCAGAGTTTGGAGTATCATGAGAATTTTGCTAAAACAAATAGGCCTTTTTTTGTGTGTGGCATGATTGTGTGCTCATTTTGATGAGCACAAAAGAAAGACAGAATAATTTTTTTTGGGGTCAACGAAGAACTGAACTGAGTCCACTTGCACTTATTTGTATACTGTATCTTATAAAAATATTCATATGTTCCTGATATTCCTTTGTTAATTTGACATAAAATGTATTCCTATGTTCTCTTGATGAAACGTTTATGAATCAATGTTGGCTAGCTCAATCCATATGTGTTAGCCAGGATAAGAACGTCAAAAGTTCTTGAATTGTTGTTCACCTGAAAGGTTTTTTTAATTGATCAACCAGCTTTATATTATGCTTTTCAGAGTTCACAATGTTCAAGCAATGTTCCCACATCCAAAATCCCTCCACTCCTCACCCACATTTTTCCAAAGACATTTCCATCACATCAGGATGGTGTTGCAGAAAAAATGAGAGAATAATTAATGAAGATTTTCTCCTGCATCACCTGATTTTTTGATATACGGTATATATATTTTTGGACAATCACAGGGCAGGGAACTTGCAAGAATGTTCTTGAATTTTCTGGTAAGTTCATGTAACCAGACAATTTCAAAAAAAATCAATAAAAGCCCTAATTGATTCAATTTTATGAGTCAGTCTGTCCTGAACTCTTGACGGACAATCTTTTCCTTCATTTTTCCTGATTTGTGCACAAATCTGTGATTCTCTTTTATGCTGTGATCTGATCTTGCGATTCAATTATATTGTGTGGATTGATTCTGTTTATTATCATTGAATTCCTAATTTTCTTTGACTCTTCTGAAATCATACAATGAAATTTATTAAAACTAGGAACATGTATTCAACACAATCCCTTAAATATGTTTTCTTGGCCTCAAAAGGCTGATTGCCTGGGTTTTTTTTATTTCTTTTGAGATCCTTGATCACAGATGGAGAATAGAGACTTGGAGTTGCTGCATATGGATGTTGAGATAAAATTTTTTTTTCAAATTAACAATTGCACAAGTGATATAAATAATGCACAGTTAATGAACCCAAATTAAATCACATGGTGTTCAGCCTGCTCCCAAACATAGGTTTTAGTTGATTGAAAAATTTGGAAGTAACCTCTGTGGATAAATTTTAAAAATTCAACAGTTTATGCTGGTCCTCTAAAAATTTGGAAAGAGTCTTTCCATTGCATTTTAAGAGTCCTACATCTTTTTGAAGCTTTTTGTGTACCTTTGGTATGCTTGGCATAAGAGAACATGGTGCTCTGGCAATGCATCAACCAATGTATTTATACTGCAGGAATTACATCACTCATAGACACCCTTAAAATTTTGATAATTTTTAAATGCCATAAAATTGTTGAGAGAGTCATGGTATCATGTACCAACGGGATATTGGATGATACAAATAGTGATGCTGGCTCACTTTTACCACAAGCAAGATCAGCTTGTAATTCACTCAAATCCACATCACAATTATCATGAAAAAATTGAGTAATTAAGATATTTTCTCTGCCTTTATTGATGCAGCACTTGAGAATGCTTGTTAGCAGAAGTATTTTTAGTCAAGACCCCAGCCACTACAGTAACTGAATTAACTGCAATTATGTTTTTCCAGATTTGAAGACTCTTTGTTAATTCAGTTAACAGCCTCTGATTCTTCAAATTTCAGAAGACAAGGATTAATTCAGTATTCAGAAAAAGTCCTTCACCCCATGCTCAACGTGAAAACTGTGACTGTCAACATTTTGAAAAGTTTACAGCATATTAAAACGTGGATACATTTTTTATCTACTTCCCAGCATGGCTGAAAAACATGACAGGTATCATGAAGTGGATATAAATACAATAGTGGATAAAAGTATACGTTTTTATTTCAGCAGATAAAAGCAGAATAAGAATCAAAAGTAAGATATATTTTGTATTCAAATTTTGTGTTCTTTGAGGTGTTCCACATATAGATGGCTTTCTGTTTAATCATAAATGTTTTCCAATAATAAAATGAATACATGTACAGTACAATATTTTTAATTGCAATGAAATCAAGGCTTTAAATCTCAGCCATGAACTATTGCTTGAAAGTTCCATGAATCTAGTTGTCCAACATACACAATGCACATTTTAGTAGAGGAAATTTTAATTCAGTAAATATGCTAGGAATCGCAATGCATTATGCAAGCTTAAATTGATCTATTTTAAGTTCAAATATTTTTCAGAGGTAATGCATCTTATTTCTTCACCAAGTACAAATCCTTGGGGGTTTTCTCAAGGTTGGTCATGAAACCAATTTTGTCACAGATTTCAGATTTATGATTCTGTTTTGAATTATTCATGAGCCAAAATTTACCCTATTTGCTTTACGTTTTGTTTGTTTTTAGATAATATTAAAAATCTGAGCACAAGGTGTGATTAAAAGTTGTAGGTTAAAACAATTTAGGCCACTAATTTGAATAAGTTGGACCTTGGAGACTTTTATCTGTCGAAGGCCCGCGTTCTACTTCAAATTTCAAACTGGAATTCAAGCAAATTATGCTCATTCTCAATCGCATTAGGCAAAAAATAAACTAAAATTAATAGCGGTCATTGAACTATGAGAAAGTGAAAAACAACTTGCGTAACTTTTGAATGCACCGTGAAATCGATCATTCTGCATACGGACGCGTCGGCTTGATTTGCATATAAAGAATCAAATCCCAGTAGCTGTGTGTCCGTAGTCTAAAATGTTGGGCTTGCACAATTGCCCTACTCTCGTCTTGACGTCAAAGTACCTTTTGGGAAGCTGAATGCAGCATAACAAATTTGTCGTGGCTCCAAATTTTTGGGAAGTTCTTATTCTTCCTTTTATTTGAGAGCGAAGGTACGTTTAAAAGCACCTAAAAACTATATATATCAATAAGCTAAAACTTTCAGCGTAAACTGAAAGTTAATTTTACTAAAGTTAAAAATTTTTTTGCTGTTCATTCTGTTAGGAAATGCAAGAAATTGCAATGACATTCTTTATACGCTTTTGTCTCGTTTGGAAAGAACCGTTCTCACAGCGCAGCAAGGATTCATACAATTGATTATCTATGACTTAGACAAAAATTTGCATTCTTTCATGAAATCGGGCTTATCTATATCCTCAGCATAATGCGTAAATGAATTCATTTTCAGAATCAGCAATTATGGAGGAGATGCTCGTTTCGTCTGATGTGACATTTTGGAAAATACGCCTTTATCATCATCGTGAGATTAGCAGCTTATTATATGTCTTCTTTTTTTTACGTTAGAGCTGCTCCTGCAAAAATGCTCTTGCATCTGGGGTGAGTATAAATTCTTTTTAAAAATCAGGATAATACAAAACAGAAAATATTCGTGAACAAGTTGTCATGCTGTCTCTTGCGCAGCTTTGCCTTTAAATAAGGCATCAACTTTTCAAGAGAGAATGTTGATTGCCAAATACTTTGACATAGGATCAAAAGTACTCATAGGATGATTTTCGGGTTATGTAGTAACAACAAACTGAACGCTTTAGAAGAATAACGAAGTTAGAATTAACCTAGATGTCACTCTGAGGTTTTAAGTTTTTTGGATTGTATACCTGTTAAACTGATGAGGACATTTGAAAGTTTAAAAAATTTGACCCATTGTATGGACATTATGTTGACATATAGACACTCTTCCAACATTTCTGCCTGGAAAGAATTTCAAATTGTGTACTGCTTAATGTTCACATTTTTTGGAGAAATTGAGCTTTTTACATTCAGAAATACTAAAAATCACATTTATTTCTAAATTTCCTAATTCATGATTAATATAAAGGCTAACTTTGCTCTTATTTTTTAGTTTTTTTTTTGGATTCAGTTTTATGGAGTATGAGAAAAATGTTTCGTACCTTTGCTTTTTGACCTTCCAAAGATTAGATTCTGTTTGATTTTCTTCTGTACATCTAATTTTTGTAATTTTGAAGTCGAGAAACAATAATTGTACTCAATTTTAGGGGAAGTTTATCTCAACTATTCAGCTTTTACAGGAGAAACAATAAAGAATATTCCCATTGAAGTCTATGCTGGAAAAACAAGTCCAACATGCAAATGTTCTGACATAGGAACAAGGTCCATGCACCAATTATGTCTGCATCTTTGGATCCCACTGAAATTCTATGAAAAAAAGTGAGAAGAATACTAAACACAGATACTTTCAATCTTGGTTGGCTTGCACCAACTTATAAACAGGTGGTGCCTCATACTTTGACCCTAATCCATTGCCAGACTAGGGTTCAATTACAAAGAGGTCAAATTGCAAGTCAATTTGTAAAATTGCAAGTAAATTTGTAAAATTGACAAATATCATTAAAACTGCAAAAAAAGTGGTCCAATTGGGTCACATTCTGGAGCAGAGGTAAATTGTAAGTCAACCTCCCTGCAAATTTGACAGCCAATTTCTGGGATGGTCAAATTGCAAGGTACCTGTACCACTTTCAAAAATTTTACCTGTGTTCAGGTACCCATTTTTTTGTCAAAAACATTCCAACAAATACCAATCATGAGAGCTCCATTAATCTATCTTCAACTGATGAAAAAGCCTCACACTCCTCAAAACTCACCTTGTGAATGTTTTGCATTACAAATACAGTATTCTTTTTTTTCATACTCACCAGTCGCCTGCAGCAAACGATAATGCTTTAGGCTATATATGCATCTCCCAACAGTTCGTGGGCTGTCTCGACATGCAAAAATTGTGAAATACATGGCAGATAACTCAGTGAATCAGAATCGATGCTTTAATATCAAACAGGTCACATGGGCACAATAGATGAGCAGCGGAGACTTTCGACTGACAGAAATTCATTGATGATGTACGCGTACCTGAGTGAATACGGGTATTCTTTTCTTCTTTTCTCTCTCTTTTTTTTGCAATTAGTTTCTCGTTTCTGCTTTTTCTTTTTTTTTTAAATCCAGAAAATGCGACTAAAATCCCGGCCTCCGCAGAAGCTTGGTTCACGAGGCAACGAAAATCCACGCAGCAGCAGCAGCACATGAAGGTGATGAAGCAAACATTCAACAGTTTCTCTCGACGAGGCAATTTTTCGAAATGAAAGAAAACAAAAAGAAAAATTAAATAGAACCCTGGACTCGAAGGGGACAAGCCAGTCGATGCATGCCGTGATATATCAGCTATAGTTGGACAGAGCTTTCCAGATCAACACACAAGCACCGGCGAGGTTTTTCTCCTGCAACATGAACCCAAAAAAATAAAAATAAAAGGAAGATCATGATCAAGCCATGATTAGTTGAATGTAATTCGAGAATGTACCATATTTACTCGAGTAAAAGTGCTAACAGCACATGAGGCTTTTGCCAAGATTTTTCGACCCACAATTTCCCCCCAAAATCTGTCTCCGCATATTTGACCCAGGCCACACTCCAGTTTTTTTGTGTGTGCCGAAAATCAAAATTAATTTACCAAAGAATACATTGTAACAGAATCACGTTATGAAAAAATAAAAGAGCATGAAGAATTACGTCGAAAGTGGTGTAAAAAACAAATTTCTAACCATTTTTCCCCACAAACTTCTGGCACACTAATATGAATTCATGATTCTTTCTTCTTTAAAATATTTTTACCCGCATTCCAAATGCACCCCACTTTTGCGCCTTGATTTTCCAAAAAAATGCACTGTGTATACTTAATTAAATGCACAGTACTTTCATATGCACTGGAGTACCATGCGCCCTCAATTAAGGATTGCGCCCAAGTTTTTCAACCTGAAATTTGGATAAAAACTGTATTCTAGAGTATAATATGTATAAACCCCATTCGAGAGATGTAAAATTTGAATATTCTAAAAATAAAATGCATTAGAATTTAAATTTGGACTCAAATTGAATGTCAATTTTTTTTCATCATTTCCATCACTTGAATTATCTGTGGGAAGCGGTTGAAAATTCCTCGTTGGAATCAAGTACAAGGTGCATCAAAGCTTTAAAATTCATGCAAATGCTATATACCTATGTACGATGCTGACTTTATTTATTTATTCTTCTTAATTTTGAAAGGGGGATAAAAAAAAAGGATTGTGATGATTGCACTTGAGTAAATATGGTATGGTAATAATATCCAACCGTAATAAAAGCAGATACTGACCGGCGAAAAGGTCGGTTATTATTCCTCCTCTTCTTCTTCTTCCTCCTCCTCTTCTTCTTCTTCCTCTTCCTCCTCTTCTTCTTCTTCTTCCTCGGCTGCTGGGGCTGCTGCTGGTGCCTCTTCTTCCTCTTCGTCGACAGCAAAGTCTGGTGGGTTGGTGATGTCGATGTCGTCGAGGTCCACCTCAGCCTCCTTGTGGAGCTCTTCTTCCGGCGTCTCCGGTTCTCCCTTCTTCTTGCCTGGCCGTTCTCCGAACCACTTGGGCAACTTGGCTGCACGTTTTTTCCACCGGGGTGAGGGGGGGGGGGGGGGGGAAAAGAGACGGGGGCGTATTATTCACTGCGATTCTATCCCTCCCCCCGGGGTGTAATTTAAAAACAAAACAAAAACGAATTGATTGATGAAAATATAAAAGAAGCCCTTGGACGTGACACAGGACAAAGTACGCAGGGGTAGACGAACGCTGGTGCAGCAGGACACGAGAGAGATTGTGTGTGGGTGTGTGTGTGTGATGTGAGGAAAGGTCGTACCGAGCTGAATAATTGCTACAAAAAAAGAGGAGAGGCTTTTAGGTTAATTTTGCGATGAGTTATTCTTCCTTGTTGAAACAACCTGCTTTTTTGCATTTAGTTTGGGGGGTTTCTGCTGTGCTTTTTCACTTGTAATTTATGATGCCAGCCGTTGAACCCGAGTTTATAAAACTAGGTTAATTCGTCTGACGGATTACTTTTTGTCACCTTTTTCCTTGGACATCATTTCGAATTGACTGTATTTAATTTTTTTTCTTGCTTCCACATTCTGTCTCGTAGGACATATTCGCGAGACATTTAAAAAATAAAATAAGCGACGCGAAGATATTTTTTCTTCGAAGCCGTTATGAAATACGTGAGAAATAATACGCTATAATAGTGATTTTCTTGGAAAATTTTAGTTAAAAGGTGCATGATTGAATATTCTGGGTTAAATTAGGTCTAAACTTGACGTGAAGTAATATACTTTTTTCATACGTATATTCAATTTTGAATTGGAAAAATAAAGGTAAAATTGGGTGTACGAGTATGTTACGATTGTTACGTGATCAAAAATCTTTACGATTTTCTGTGAGGAATTTATTCACAATGTTTCAAATTTTTTAACAATAACAAGGTTTTTTCTATATGCATAGTTACGTGAGTAAATAATATTAGGTAAATTATACCAACTCCTCTTTTGAAGGAACGAATTGATTATTCCCCATCAGGTCCAAATACTGCCTTTGATTGTACTGTAACACGATTCTAATCATTCATTATACTTCGAAAATGAAAACGACACAAGTCTTCCTTTTCGGTACATATTATTTAAGCAAGTGAATGCAGTTGGTATTTGTTGTGGTTGCTTGAATTAATCTCAGATTAGATAAGGTTGATTTATACTGCTTCGAAAAACGAAAAAAATGGAGAAATTACGTCGACAGTTTCAACAAGGAGCGATACGATTTTTGATAACACATAATTCCAGCTCGTGACCTGCCTCACAACAACACGGACAACAACATACAACAACAACAACAACAACAACAACGACGACGACAACAACTAAAGGGGTACATCATCTCTACCCATTTCATCAATATAATACCAAATAAATTCAACGTTGTATTTTTTTTTCTTCTTCTTCTCGCCAAAACAAGCCTTACACGTACAAATGATTGGCGGGAATTCGTTCGCTAAGTTTTCGAAACGATGCAAGACGTCTATAAAGAAGTAGTTTTCAGCAGACTTGTGTCTATATAACAAATTCTACTACACAAGGTGCGCATCTAGAATAAAAACAAGAAGTAAAATAACAATTTTTGAATTAGTGCAAAATAAGAAGCTCTTCTCCAGTGGAAACGGCCGCTGTTCTCTCTGTTTCAAAGAAAAGACATGATAATAACAGAGTGCTGGCGTTAAATAAGAGATTTTGGATTTTCAAAAGTGAAAATTAAATGATTTTGAAGACAATTTTGCGGGGAGAAAATGACAGAAAACAAGAATAGATTGTGGTTCCTTTCTTTTTCTTTTTTGCTATGATGAAGGACGAACAAATATATACAGGTGGGATGAGAGACGTGGACAGTTGGACGAGATTTTCCTTTTTCCAACAAATTTTTTTCTCTTTTTCTTTCCCCCATCAGGTATCATTCAACACATTCAGACTCACTCCTGGACCGGCCAACGAACTCTGTGTGTCGATCCTCCCAGAGCTTTTTCATGCCTTCTACAGAACTTTTTTCCAAGCCCTGTTGGAGACATTTTTGCAGGCCGAAGTGTCGGTAAATTTGTGCAGTCGTCCGAAGGAAGCCAACCCAAAAACGTATTCCATTGAGTATGCAACATTCTTTTCAAAACTCTCTACAAATGACTTTTCTTTTCCGATATGCGCGGCATGAAATGAGGGAAACTATACAGTATACTGAATGACTGACTCATTTCAAACCGGCGCACATAGGAAATTTGAAGAACAAAAAAATCTCGTGATATATAATAGGAAGATGAATAAAAGCATGAAGATACAAAGCAAGCCACTCATCAAGAAGCCGGGTTCTATATATACACTTCCAAAATTCCATGCGAACAGGGTGTGAAGTCAAAAGTCATGCAAAGCGTTCTGCTCTCTCGTTTCTCATTTTCTCGAATCTCTCTTCTTTTTTTTTTCAAGCTGACTTTCTGATATCCTACATCAAGATCGAATTTTCTCGTATCCTGTCCTTGGGCATATGAAAATGTTGCAATGCGTGCATGCCCCGATTTGCATATACTGTATACTGTATATGCGTGGGCATTGCTGTGAATGGACTTACTTTTAGAGCGACTCGTGAATGCCTCATGCCTGGATTTCCAGGTCACGTCAGAATCGGTTTGAAAGAGAACTGCCCAGCCCTGCGACACCGACAGCGATCAACAGGAAATGGATTAAACTGATTGCATTATTGACAGTTTATCGCTTGCGAGCAAAGAAAATTATCCAAAATGCCACGCAATAATCAAACTAGTCCCTATATTCATGAGTACATGACAAAGCATCATCATGTGGCAGCAGGCGACGTTTCAATAAGCGCTGCTAATAAGTGGAAAATACCAGGGTTGTTTTGATAAAAGAGGATGAACGGCCATTTTTGCAATCATAATATAAGAGGCAGATGACATTTTTTAGTTGGCTCTTGAATTCTTCCTTGGTGTCCAATGCATTTTTCATTGACTATAATCCCAGTGAGCACAAAATTCTCCAAAAGATGTCCAAAAAAGATGTTCATAAAACAAATGTTGATCTTGCAGACAAGTTCTCCAAACAATTTTTTTGGACCAGTTCTCAAAAGAAATCTCCAAAACTCATCCAAATGAGTTCCAAAAATGTCCAAGGAACTCATCCAAATCATCTGGATGATTTTTGGAGATTGTTTGGAGAACTTGTCCAAAAAAATTGTGTTCTAAGTTTGGAGAACTTTTCCACAAGATAAAAATTTTTGCTGGACAAAGTCCTACTTTGCCCTAGGCCACCTGGCTTGGCTGTCATGGCCTTCAACATAATTTAAACCTGGGCCAACCCAAGAAAATCTTGTTTCTGTCCCACAATGTGAAAGAACCCGTAGTTGCAGAAGGGTTAAACTTCACTTCACTGCACTTCTGTAGAGGGGATTCACTGTGATCCAGTTATTTTTCTTATTTCCTTCTGTAGCTAAGTAGTCAATGAAAAATTAATCAAATACCAATGAAGGATTGAAGAGCAAAATAAAAAAAAAATTTGCATCCACATCCAATGATGGCAAGTGGCATGCTTATCATCTTTTACAAACCAACCCTTGTATCCCCAACTGGAGCAAAATTAGTCACATTCACTTACACATACAAACACACATGCGGAATTAGTCTAAAAAGAAACATTGGTATTATTATGATTAATCTTCTGTTTTTCCATGTCTTGACTCACGGCGGCAGCTTAATTTTCAGCGTCATTTTGAAAGGCAAAGGGAAGCAAGAAAAGAAGAGCAGGAGAAGCCTGTTTTTGGGTGAATGAAGGTAAGACATCAAGCAAAATTTCCTCGTTTCCAATTACAAGTAGATTAAACGAGCATAGCACAGCTCATTCAGCGATCGCACAAGAGACGCAACAAAGTCGAGACGAAGACACTGTTCAAACTGAAAAGGACATTTCATGTGCGTTCATTTGTTTAATTCTTTTTTCTTTTTTTTTTAGCTCGGAAATGCGCCAACTTTTACAGAACCTCTATTTATCCTGGTCTGATTTAGCATATCATTTACAGTCCAGCAACAAGTTTGTTTTACTATTAATGTGCGTCAGTCTGAAAAATTACTGTATATGTTCGACAATCAGCAGGCGGTCTCAAATAACTAATCAAGTGAGCAATTCACTTTTTAATCCTAGTTTTTAAAGAAAAAGATGTAGTCCTGACTGAGACACGCACCACATTCAGAGTTCTTGAGAAAACGTGCCGTATCCCAATATTATCAGAATAATCTACATATTGAAAATAAATTTTAGACCTGAATTGAACCAAATTAAATTGCTCCATGAAATAATTTTCAACAAAATATTCTGACTGGACTGATCCACAACAGCTGGGCTAAAATAATTTTACCAACACTATGATTACCAAGGCACTAAATATGAACAGTTATTGGCACAAAACAAGTTTTCTCAACTTGAAAACTCCAAAAATTAGTTGGCATTGCTGCCAAGATCCCTTCTTAGTTGAGATTTTCAGGTTTCTGAAATAAAATATATACAGTGAGACCCCCAGATTCTGAAATAATTGGTGCAATTGAGCCTAGTTACAGTGTCACTAAAGTTGACATTTCCCCAAGTCAAGGCTTGTTTTCCCATAGAATTACATTACGTAATTTTTACTTTTTGTTTTATGGAAGAAATATTCTTCAGAATTCCATGAAAAAAATGGTTTGCCATTTGAACTGGATTCAGTGAATATATTTTCAACTCAATGAGAACATTTGGAGTTTTGAATAGTTCACCTCAATACAGTACTGTATATTGAAATGTTGGCATCTGTAAAAATAACATTCAAGTCACAGAGGGTGAAGTCCCTCCATGCTATAGGTAATTTTTTAATTAGCTGAATGGATGGGAAACTGATGGGAGAAATACCAAATAATTTTTCTTGCATAGATCTTGAGGTTGGAAATATCCCTTCCTTGCAATTGAGCCTAGTTAAAGTCAATTTTCCTGATTTTTTTTTTTTTATCACTTAAGGTCTGCATGCTGAGTCAATGTTCATATGTTGGGCCTTTTTTATGCCTTCTTCATTGAAAAATAATTGTCCCTATGTCAAATTGTCCCTATGTCAAATTGTCCGCATGTCAAGGTGTCTGCATGTGGGGGCCTCACTGTACCTTGCATAATATTTTGGTCGTCAGCCTTGGTATATATTAGAGGTTCTACATCAAGGCCTAGAAATTATTGTATTACCAGTCTCTATAAATAAAATTGCCGCATTTTCCGAGCAGATGACTACATTTTATTTATTTTTTGCACAGAAACCAGGTGGAATAGATAGACCAGAGAGATAGATCTGAGACAAGAATGTGTCTCAGAAGATAATATTGTATATGTATATATATATATATATATACTCACACCCGCAAACAGGCCCTTCTTGTCCTCGTAAGTTCGGTGGTCCACTTGCCTCTCAAACTTGGAAGAAACTCGAATCTTTGGCTACGATTTCCACCACCCCCAAGGGGAGAAAGGCAGCAGCAGCTTCATCAATCACTACTACTGTACTGTACTGTACTGTACTGTACATTACTTTACTTTGAATGTCTCCATTCAAAATTAGCCGAGACGGATATATAAGAACAGACAGACAGATAGATAGATGGACAATGAGACAGGCACAAGGACAAATAAGAGGTTGGGTTGGGGCTACACCAAAACTTCGCACTTCTTTTTTTCCCTGCTCGTTATTGGTGTATCCTGTGTAATACATACAAAGAGTGAAACATGGCCGGAAATCGCCCCTTCTTTCTTTTTTTCTTTTTCCTTCCACGCACACATGCCGACTACCAAACTGCTGCCGACTACTTGCAAAATGAAACAAAAGAAAAAAGAGAGCTGCGGACCAACATGATGAAAAAAAAAAAAGTAAAACAAGTGCATGAATGTGCTCGTCTGCGCTGTTACTTACACCCTGGAATAGTTCTTTCTTATCACCAAACGTTCTCAAATCCACTTGTCGATCGTACTTGCTGGCAACTCGAACTTTCGGCTGCAATAAGTCATCCCGAAGCAAAACACAAGACGCATGAAAAATCTAAACAAGTTCTTGTTTAGAACTACTGTACACATTTTACTTTTAGATATACGTATACTCGCGAAACTGCTCTCATTTACAATAATAAATGCTGTAAACCATAACAAGAACAACAACAATCTGCATTCGCGCCATCGTCGGATTTTTTAAAGCCCTCTCCATGTCTTCAATTTATCCTTGTCAACTAAAAAACTGGTGACTTTCAAGAATCTCCCATCGATTATTTACATTTTTTTCTGCCAAACACAAAATCCGTTGAATTTTATACTTGAGACGATTTCGGTGAAAATTTCTTTTCTTTCCCTGAAAGTTGAAAATGCGAAGAATGGGAAACACTAAGAGAGACGACACACGTGTACGGACTCGACATCACAGAGAAAGTCGACGTGACGGGATCGACACGGACAATTTCAATTTTTTTTTCGTAACCTGGAAATTTAAGTAAAAACTTTCTTCTTTCAAATGCAGGTCCGAGAACATGAATAAAATCTCAATTATTTTTAATTTTAAATCAATTCAAATTTCGCAGGATGGAAACTCACCGGGTATTTTCCAGTCAAAGCCCTGTGACGAAGCGGAAAGAATAAAGGAAAGAGAGAAAAAAAAATCGAGATTAGACTTTTCAAATAATCACAAAATGAACGCAGCCGTAAATCGAAAATTTTTTTTTTCAAGCAAAAAGCAGCTGGTTTCTACCAAAATGGTGAACCGAGTGTGAGCTACGAAAAATGCGGGAAGAAACTACATACAGCACAACTAAATACTGCATGTTCAGTATCTACGCGGGAAATTACTCAAGGTTCGACATTTTTTGACCCACAACTTCATCTGAAAGAAGACTGGATTGCAAAATTCAGCCTTGAAGAACGGAAAATAGTTTCATTAATTGCTCAAATGTTGGCACACATTTCAAACCAATGGAACATTGACTCTTGAGCAATCCATTTAAAAAATAATTTGCAAATCCGCCTTTTTGTGAGCAAGTTGTGGACAAAAACGAAAAAATCATTTCGCAATTTCCCTCATCATGCCACTTTCGACAAAGCCATGAATTCATGCACGGACGGAAAGTACAATTTTCTCATTATTTCCGGTTTTTTTTTTTTTGTCAGTTGGTGAGAAGGAGGAAAACGTGTGTGTGAGTGTATATACAGTACAGTACAATATATAAATATATATATATACTGACGAACGACGAAATACCCAAGAAAAACCTCAGCACAAATAGCCCTTTCTATAATAGCACGAATCTGTACGCAAGAATTATACAACATCGAGCAAGATTATTTTATGACGACAGTAAACGTGCAGCGAGGCACGACGGGGGGCGGAGACTCCGACGAGGGGAAAGGGATGATGCGTAAAGAGGGAGGCGTGGTCCACGGATTAAAAACGACGTGTATATACTCGCAATGACAAGCCAATCAACGGCGCGGGGTTGCAACGGAGGAGGAGGAGACCGTGATTAATGACGAACGAATGACAAGCGAGGAAACACGTCCGTTCCTCGCCGCAAGGGGATGCACCAGTTTCCGTGTATAGTACAACACTCGTTTATTATTACAGGGATGCGACGAGAGAGACAGGGATGAAACTTACTCCGGGTCAAGTCCCCGCTTAAGAGCTTTGTTTCTCAAAGACTGCTTTTGTCGCTCGCCCAACTCTTTCAGCTGAACCGTGGACAGACGACGAACAGACACACAGAGACAGAAAAGAAAAAGGGGGACGAACAGAAAAACGAGTAAGCTGCGATTAATGTTCTTCTAAATAGAAATAAAAGCTTCTAATTACAACAGTTCGAATAGAATTTGATTCGCATTAATTGAAGCCAGTTGTAAAATTTCCGAATCCGACATTTCATCAGCAGGACTCACTGGGGATCGAGTCCCAAACGCAATGCTTTCTGGCGGTTCTGCATTTTTTGCCGCTCATGCAACTCCTTCACCTAATCAAACATGATAACCGTATTTCTTCCCACTCATTTAATTCTGCGATTCAAACTTTTTAAACAAATTGAACACGGCTTGAGCTTTGCAGTTTGAATCAACCGCATCTGGAACAGGACCGTGGTCCGCGGACCGGCGCTGGTCCGCAGAAGTTTTTTGCCGGTCCGCAGGAAATTTTAGGAACAAGAAATTAATCAAAAGTAGAGATGAAGACCTATTATCTTTTTGTTAACATTTTTTAAGGACAATGGTCTTCGACGTTATCTGATGAAAATAAATTTGGCTTTTCTTCTGACAAGAATTCAGACAAATTTCTCCCTGCTGAAATTAATTATTTAAAATTTTCATTCTGAAAAATTTTTCTTCCAGCCGAACTTTATAATTTCTGATGACATTTCGCTTCAGCTGCTTTATTGCGTGGTGCTCAACTCAATTTTTGCAACAGAAAAGATAAACGTTTGAATATCTGTCATTAATTCCTCCAAGCAAACATTCTGTGAGCTTGCAAAAATTTTATGAAACTCTAATGTTAAAAAAAAATTTTGATGAAAATTTGCTGGTCTGCAAACCCCAAAAGGTTGGGATCATTGGTTAAGATAATATGCCCAACAAATTATGTATCTCCTCGCTATTTGAAACACTCTTGGAAATAATGACAGTACCAACGACTGATTCATTGATTCCTCGGTAAAGCCTCCATATTATTATTTCCTATTCAGTCAATGGACATTGGTTAACAAACCAGGTCTTTCGCCAAAATATATTTGTTAGTCAATTAACTTGGTTTTAATTTCGGCTTTATCTGTGTTTTATGCATTCAAAACGCAAATTAAAAATTAAACAAAGATCATAGATCAATGAAACGGAGTATTTTACGGGAAATTATCACAGATTTTCAGAACATTAATTTTGTTATGCTCTAAATGTCTATAATTACAGACCTTCCGTATTTTCAAAAAATCAAAATCCAACACATACAAACTGCCCTTTTACCCAATTCACGTATAAAAACTGCTAATTTTTGCGGAAAGTTAGAACAAAAATATCCGACAAGCAGATTTTTTCTCTTTTTTGTAAGAAACAGTGCGTGGAAACACATGTTGATTTGTCAAAAGACTCAAAACACAATTTACAAAAAGTGAATAATCCTTCAATCAACAGTGAAAAAAAAAACACATGAGTGTCCATAGGAAGGTTCCAGGAGGGAAACATTTAGAAATTAGTGCAATGTTAAAATTTTACTGCTCAAATTTCTTTCTCAGCATAAGTTGAATGACTGAATTTTTTTCAATTATTCTGTTATTTAATTGGATATATAAGAACTAAAATCAAATGAGCAGCTCTCATTCCATTGACCTTAAAACTAGTAAAACCTCATCATACATTAAACAAATGTATCTCACCAGAATAACACATTTATTACTTGTTCTCATTCCAAAGTTTTCAACTCACATGAGAGTATGAGACCTATACTAATCAAAGCCAAATGTATCATTCATAAAGCTCAAGTTGTACGTGATGAACAAGTATAATTAAACTGAAAACTGAGGGCTCTGAGCCTTAACTATGATCGAATCTAATGACTGACCAATAAATAATTCGATCTGATTCATTTTGAAATATTTCAAGGGTTATTGAAAAAAATGCCATTGCAGCAGCATTTTTTATCAAATCAATATTCGGCAAACCTCGGCTTCAATAATGGAAAATCCATCCAACCTATGCATAATATTCAAGATAGATTTTTCTGGGTTCATCGGAAATGAGCACGTGTACAGTAATGTAGTATATAGTATAGTAGATTTGGTTGGAGAAAAAAAGTGTACTGCTGGAATGCTGTGTGCAAAAAGAGAAAAAAAGGTCATGTCCGTGATTCCAGAAAGGCTCACAAAATATGGCCTCCAATCATCTATTCTAAGAAAAAAAAATCAATGCGCCTCTATACATAAAAAGTCGGTTGGAATTTTTTTTTGCCTATAGTTTTTTTTTCTCTCATCTATATAGGTTTATAGGCATATTTTCACATACGTTTTCTCTCGCATATGAACTAGGAAAATCATTTTGTGCGGCTGTGGGGGGTACACAAAGGGGGGTTCCATAGAGCAAGAAAAAATCTGTCGGCATACAGCGAATAATAATGGACTTACTCGGGATCCAAACCTAATTTCAAGGCTTTCTGCCTGTTCTGCTGCTTCTGCCTCTCTTTCAACTCTTTCAACTGTAAATATCAATAAATTCGTCGAGCTGAATACACTTCAGAGCAAGAATAATGGGTTCTTTACTTCTCTCATCGTTTGAATATATAGGCTTAGCGTGAAATGAATAATGAAAATCTGATTATATACAGTATATAATGACTGCTGGAATAAAATTGGAAATCATGAAAATATTTGATATCTCCATATAGAAAAAAATAAGGTATAATATTCATTCTCACATCGTAGTCCTGGCGCTTCTGTCGCTCCTCAAGATCGTATTTTTCAGTCTCGAGTTCCACAATTCGGTCCCACAATTCCTTGGCCTTGTCCTTGAGCTTCTCCATGCCCAGGTTGTCCACGTTGAGGGCCTTGATGCGAATGGCCAAAGACACCTTCTTCTCTTCCTCCAGCAGTTCCTTTGGCTTGTTGAACTCTGCCCGCGGGTCATCAGTCTGTATATAAATAAATGAATAAATATATACTGTAAATATATACACTGTATACAGTAAAGTAAACCCCCGTCCAACGGACTTGATTTGTGCAACAGAAAAGCCTGTTAAGCAAAAAGTCCTTCAAACAAATTACATTACATAAAAAATTAAATTTCAATCATCAACACCAAAGGAAGTCTGTTTATGTTTATAATTTATCCGAGTGTGCGCATAAATTCTCCCTTCCGTTAACTGAGTAGGGTACAGTACTATATACCCTTGCAACAAATTTTATCTACAGTGTACAGTAAGTTAGCTCTGAAAGAATAAAATAAATAAATACAATATTCAACGAAGTCTTCGCTATAAAATGCTGACAGCGCTAGCTGGTTAAAAAGTCGAAATTGCAAATTTATAGGAGCGTCATCTACAGTCTTTAAAAATAAAAATAAAAACCGTTCGCATATAAAGCGTATAGGTTCACTTTTGGCCTAGATAATCCCTGTCTTTCGTGATCCAACATTTAAAATGGCGGACTTGGATTCGAGACAAATTATATTTATTGTGGTTCGTCCGCTAATTCTCAGCGAGAATATTAATAATAAGATGCCGCTGGATTAATACTTTCAGTTTTAGACGGCGGGAATAAAATGAATGGAACAGATAGAGTATTCTCTATTGTACTGTATATAGGTTATACCGTGGATTTCATTCCTCGTTGGATGGTGAAGTTGGGGCCCTTGTTCTTGTCCTGCTGCGCCTTCATCATGGCCTGACGCTTCTTCTCGGCCTCCTCCAGGCGTCTGAGTTTCTCATCAGCGTCCTTCTGCTTCTTCTCCTCGATTTCTCGCTGTCTGCGCAACTCTTCCTCGCGCTTCTTCTGCATCAGCCGCTTCTCCTCTTCTTTCCGGAGTTGCTATTGTATTGGGATATACAGTATAGTCAAACGGGGTTTCTACCATGAAAAGAGACTCTATAAAGTACAGTACAGTACTGATGTATATAGTCGTGCTTGCAAAGTACAGTACTCGGAAAATCAGCGAATGCTGCTGGTTTATCGGAATAATACGAAATCCATCTTATGACCTGATGCTTATATATATATATTTACATGCAGACCCTGCTGGCGTCTAATGTGACGCCACAAATTTGTGAGGTCTGTCACAATTAAACCACTATATGATAAAACCATGTAAATCAGCGATGTCCAACTCAGATTTAGTGGCCCACGTAAATAGATTAATCGTATGACCGAGGACCGCATTCAAGAGATGGAGAGTCCTTGAGGAAAATTAAAAAAAAATAGACAATAATTTCTTCGAGGTTCCAGATTTTACGTTTTGAAGGAAAATGTTCAAAATCCGATTCAGTGTTGTCACGTACTAAATCACAAGCAGAGCTTTGCATACATTTTGCAAGGATGGAGCACACATTTTAATTTTTAAATTTATATTTCAATATAAATTTTTGCAGTTTTTTGAATAGGGGCAGCTGCCACCTTGAAAATTCTCAGTGTGTAGGAATAGTTTCTGCGGGCCATATCTGACCATATCTGCCCAAATTTTGTCCCCCAGGGGCACAAAATTTGGGCAAGAGCATGTTGGGCTGATATAAATCTGAAAACATCACTATATATATAGAGAACAGTTGAATTAATATCATTCTGGCAATAAGAACATTAATTTTGTGCAGATGCATTAATAAGATTTTCGCTTTAAGCTATCGTCTCTATCTGCTCCTGTTGGTTTTACCAACAACGATTTTACAGAAAATAAATAAATAAAACTGGTGGAATTTGAACGCTCCAAATATTCAGACAGACTGTTCAAGACTTCATGTTGAAATCAGCCCTTTTTCATTTTGTTTCTGATGCAGCTTCATTAAAAAAAAGAGGACTCCTCATGAGCCACGACGTGGAATCGAAATCTCAATTTTTGGTTGTTTTTTTTTTTTTAAAGCAGATATCTGAGTCATCATTTGGCACCAAAAATAGAAAGGGATCCAGAAACTGTAAACAGTAATTTTTAAAAGTATATACCTTGCGTTTGACCTGCTTCTCCTTGAGGCGCTTGAGCTCGTCCTCTTCCTTTGATCGTTGTTTGCGCCATTCTTCAATGTATTCGCGCAACTGCTCGTCCAGCTCCTCCATCTTGGTCGACTGGCGAAGCTGCGATTGAAATAACGTTACAACTCATTGAATATTTATTCAAATTACTGCACGTCTTTTTTTCACAGTTCTTCGTCTAATTTGTTTTTTCGAGACATATCCCTGATTATATCTCACCTTGACGAAGTCTGGCTGCGAATCGCCGGCATCTTTTGGCGTCTCCTGCCTGCAAACGCAATCAAATCATGGATCAATTTATAAAAATAAATTTGATCGGGATCGGAAGAAGAAGAAAAAACAACTTTCAAATATAAATGAAAATGTCTTCCTGGGCATATCTGAAGCGTAATCCTGTACTCATTTTTGTTACTGAACCAGTTTCCATGCCGGAAAGAACTACTGTACCAACTCATCATTCCGAACCAATCACGTCGAATTTTCTATTTAGATTAGCAAAAATGTGAGATCAATAAACTACTTACTTTTGCTTAGGCTTTGGCGCCCTGCAAGCCCACGCCATCAATGCCGAGGAAAGAAAAAGTAGAGAGAAAAACGGAAGAAGAAAGCATTAATTCAATTGCAAAATGACCCTCTCGAAACCAATAAACCACTCATACACGAGAATGCATACAAATGAAGCGTGAAAAATTACTGCAAAAAAAAGTCTTCCCCGTTCAAGAGAAGCTATAACGGTTGTTAAATGCGATGCTAATCGACATTATAATGCTGCTGTCCACAAAGCGTAATTCCAACTGACAAGAGTCGACCAGAGAAAAGAGGGCTGATTTTCAAAGTGATGCTATTTTCTTGAACTTTGATTCAATTAATTTTCCACTCATACTAAAAGTCATAACATTTTTGTAAATTCATTTGCGCAGATCGATGGCTTTACTCCTTGCCACACGTAAACCGTTCTGGTTTTATTCATCATCGTGACAAAATTCCGTCATGAAAAAGTAAAATACTTTTTGAATTTCCATCAAAAATCGGCAAACTAGTTTCCGGTCGACTCTGTGATTACAATATACTGCACATAATAGGCCACCGCAAAGCAATCGTCCATTTTCGAATCAATTGGACGAATTCGAAAGAAAAACAGAAAGATGAAGAGACGGACGCAACGGAATTCGTCTCGTGCTGAATATATACTCTATCCTAGAAATCACGTGCTGCAAATATTCCGCAGCTTCGTAATACAGCAGGGAAATAAGAAGCAGAATACTTTACAAGGGCATTCCATTAAAAGAGTCAACAGCAGAAGAAAGGTAATCGTCGTCGTTTCAGTCGGTTGCTGCCGTGTGCCAAAAAAAAAAGTCTCTTATACCAGCAGCACGTCGCAACCACGAACATCCCCCTTTATTTCAGTGCTTGAAATTCAGCGAAAAAAAAGAAAGAAACCTTCCGACGAGGGATGTGAAATAAAAATAAAAAAAGAGACAGAGGAAAGAAGAAACCCTGGTGCTGAGGTCAAACGGTTACTACATATATATCCCACTCTGTCCCTTATTTTCCCTCTCTCCTGTGCCTGTCTGGAAAACGTCGGCATTCCACAGAGGAGGTTTATTTCCGTCGTCAGCCAAGACGGAAGTCGGGTCAGGTCTCGAGCGCGCCTAGCTGCCTTTCTCCGCCCCTGTTCCTTTCTGTCGCCATCGGGGCGGGTGAGGTCGGGTTCTTCTTATTTAGATGGGGGTTTGTAGAAAAAAAAAATTAAGTAGGTAGGTAAGTAAGTAATATTTATTTTTTTTAAGTATACTTTCCATAAAGAGAGGCCTACCAAATATATATGGAGTGACAGGATCATGTCATTTATATTGAGGACAGATTGTCACCACAATATCAGTTGATGTTGAATGTTTCAATAAAACGTAATTATCAGTCTGGTACAGGACCAGGATGAATTCCTTGCAGTAATTCCTGAGTAAACAGGCTAAATGTATTTCACACAGGTATAATCAATAAACAACTCAGCAAACTCTTCTCACAGCTTGGATAACTTGGTTAAAGAATAACTCAACTCAACTATACTGATGATGATATTATTGAACATGAGCTGCTTATATGTACTCAAAAGATATTTAACCGTCATTGGTTTCTACTTTACATGACAGAAAAGATCTTCAATAGGTCAAGAATCTAGATTCAAAGATGCTATAGTGCTAGAAAGTACCCAGCAATGCAGTTTTGGGGAGGGGAAAGCTATTAATGATTTCTAGAAATTTATATTTAATAATTAATGCGAGGAGTGCTTGCCCAAAAATTGAAATGGTGGAATCAATGTCAGCAACTGAACCTCTATGTTTCTTTAGTTTTGCAGAAACATTCCAAACTTCAGGATACTCACAAGTTATTTTTTCTTGCTTACAATTCAAATTGATAACCCGCTCATTTCCGAGTTCTTACCTCGATTTCAAGATCCAACTTTTAAAAAACATCGTAACATGGGGCAGCAGGTTTAAATATAACGGAGTTAGTCTGACCCAACGTGACCAATAATAAGTTGATATTCAATGACTGCGGAACAAAGAACTGTAAGGTTCCAGGCGACATCTGTGTATAGAAGCTTGAAAACCCCGTATCATGGGATTGCAGTGCGAGTAAAGGAACCTCTCATGTGAGTCAGTGCGCAAAAATTGTTCCTGCATTTTGAAGTGGATGTCAATACAATTAAACAACTTGTGCACATCTAGGGACAAACCTATATACGTTTTGTTAATCAAACCTAAATTTTTGAAGCAATGTCTTTGAAATGTTCAAAGGCCATGAACTCGGATTTCATACATGTATTACAGTGCAAAATTGCTAGCATGAAGTTCAAGTCTAAAACAAAAAGAGCTAGGATGCATAAAATCCGCAGTGATCATTTTTGTTTTTCAATTGAAAATTGTAGCTGACATATACAACCTTTTGCAGATTAAAAACGGAAAAGATTACTGTAGTAGCCAGGCATTTTCATTCTGGAAAACCCTCAAAATTACCACAGGATATTTCAAATGTACCTACTGATCATTTTACCCAAAATAAGTATAATGCTGACGTGTCTTCTTTCAATGTTTGAAAATTACAGAGCTCTCTAATGAGAAATTGGAATCATATTGGTCGGGTACCAATAACAAAACTA